CCATATATATTGCTGTCAACTTCTTGTTGTATTGACTGATTGATTGATTGATTGATTGATTGATTGATTCAAGCCAGTGCAATGGGCTGGCTTGCGATTCCATCCAAGGAACCTCAATGTGCTGGATTTTTGTTTATTTTTTTTTTTCTTCTTGGCTTGCGATACCAACCTGCCTGATGAGATCATTCTGAGTTCTTATTACAAGTATCTTCCCCCGAACATAAAGCACTCTGGGCCTCGTTAGACACTCCTTGGGGATGTGAAATCCACAAGGACGTGCTCGTTCCACCTGTCCTTTTGGACGAAATTGAAAAAGAAATGTGAAAACGCCACAAGGAAAATTCCTTGTGGCATCCTTGTGGCCCCAGCCATTTCTTCCTTGTGCCCAAGGGACCTCACGAGGTCCCTTGGGCACAAGGAATCCGCGTTTCACGGAGAGGAGAGGGCACACGGGTAGATAGACGTTACAGCTGAGAATCTGGATCGTGGTGGCACCCTATTGGCTGAAGACCTGAAGCACAACTGTTTTTTTTTTTTTCTTCTTTTTTTTTTCTGACATCAGTCTTAGGAAATGTCCTCGGGCGACGTCCTCGAGGACAGGTGGAACGAAGTGCCCAAATTCCCTTACGAGCCACAAGGAAAATTCCTTGTGGCGCAAGGAACTCGTAAGGAGTGTCTAATGAGGTCCTCTGTTAATGAACATATATATGCAATCTTCCCGGTCGGGCACGGCCATACTGAATGGGCGTTCTGTTGGGGGGAAGACGGTAGCGTCAAGCACGGCACCATACGATGGATGCAACATTGCAACACTTCCTCATGCTGAACATGAGTCTTCACGTTTGCAACCTCCTTCCCTCTCTCTCTCTCTCTCTCTCTCTCTCTCTCTCTCTCTCTCTCTCTCTCTCTCTCTCTCTCTCTCTCTCTCTCTCTCTCTCTCTCGTGAGTGCCTTGATCATCTCCCTCCCTCCCTCCCTCCCCTGTACCTTCATCTCCCCTGTACATCTGAGTTCCAACTTCTTTCGACGAAACAATCTGACTGCGTGCAATGCATGTTAGGAATTGTCCTCGACTCCGGAATTAGTCAAGGGAAATGGAAAACAAACACGGGAGATGAACCCATCGAGAAGGAATCTGACCGTGATTGCGGTCAGATCCGTATCACGGCATAGCGTTCAACTGAAGACGACTCTACCAAAATAAAAACGACTGGTGTCAGCCGGTAGCATCAGGACCGAGCATCTTCAATGGGCCAGTCACTGTGTCTCCCCTCCGGTCCGCTCCCCCTATGAGCATAAGCACTATCTGCTCAATGCCACTCGGGGGGAACGACATATCTCTAGATGGCGGGTGCCAAGCTTGCCCAGGAAGGTACATGAGGCCAATGGGAATTGAACGCAAGGCCTCCTAAATACCACTTGAGTGCTTACCAACTGAGCTTGTAGGCCGCACCTGCTGGTGGGTGCAGCTCCCACATATTCCCCTCGTTGGAGGCTTGAGGACGGATGTGGCTGCTACGGGGTTCCCCGTAATACTGTAATGACAAGAAAAACAAGGCTTAAACGGCCATTCGACAGGTAATTGAATTGGTTGGGCTTAAAGAATTAGGGCCTCGTTAGACACTCCTTACGGTTTCCTTGAGCCACAAGGAAACGTCCTTGTGGATTTTTAGGGGAATTTGCGGCATCGTTCCACTCATCCTTGGAGACATTCCCCGAGGATGTTTCCTTGTGGCTTTCCCGCGGCCAATTTCATATGTAAATTAGCGGCCGCGGGGTCGGACGTCCTTGGTCCAGCTTCTTTTGTCCGTGTGGAGGCAGCGTGGTCCAGTGACGCACGGCAGGAAACGGCGGATGTCGGCCGACGTGAAAAGAAATTAAACCCCAAGGGCGTGGGCATTTGAAATTCAAAATCCGAACTAGCGCTGCGACGACGACGACGACGTGTGCCTGGCGGCGCGAGGGTGGCGTGCTGCGGGAAGTGGCTGAGTGGCGGCGGAGGTTCCGTCTCCAGGCCATTGCGACTGCGCGGGCAGCGTTCGGCGCTTCCATCGCCGTGGACCTTTGCACGCGTCGACTGCGCGTTGCTCCTCTTCGCCGTTTGCGGGACTGTCGACACAGAAAAGGGGCCGCCTTTCGTCGGACGTCTTCGACTTCTTCGACGCGTGCGGAAGTATGACACAGCCGGCAGCGGAACGACGGGACCGTTTCGACGTCGCGGCTATGGAGGGCGGCGCAGAGGGTAGACGTGATCCGTTGAGTTGTCGTGAGCTGCAGGCGGTGGTGGCGGCTGTGTCCACGACCGTTCTTCGATGTCAGCAGGAGAGGGCGCTGGGGCGACTGAAGGACCATTTGCGTGCTACACAGGAAATTGACGCAAGATCCGTTCGATGGGGCCGATTACATGGCGACGTCGGAGGCTGTTGTTCAGCTGTGCTACACGTTCCATTGCGGAGTGATACCGTGCGACGCCGCGGTGGTGGGTGAAGCGCAGGACAGGAGGCACGGGGGAAGATTTGAGGCAATGCGACGATGCGACAGACGACTACTTTCGGGATAAGCTTCGAATGTCGCCGCGAGTGTTCAGGGAAATCGCGGAGGCGTGTGCGCCTCATCTTCAGCGGCGGGTCACGTTCTACAGGGAGCCTTTGCAGCCGGACCACATTTTGGCGTACGCGCTGTATAGGTGGGCTTCAGGAGAGACGTACGAGAGCAGCACGTGCAACTTCAGGATTGGCCGAGCTTCTGGGTTGATTGCCGTACGCGACGTTACTGCCGCGTTGCTAAGAGTCTTTGGAGAGAAGATCGCGTGGCCGACGGGACTTCGTAAACTCGTCGTTCTGCGGGCGTTTGTTGATAAAGGGTTCCCCAACTGTCATGGTTGCATTGATTGCACTCACGTCTACGTCGACAAGCCGGTGAACGCTCCTAGCGAGAACTACTACGACAGGAAGCGCCGTTTCTCCATCGTCGCGCAGGTTGTCGTCGACCTAGACTTGCGTGTGCTCGACGTGCACATGGGATACCCAGGAAGCTGCCACGACATCAGAGTGTTGTAGTTGTCAAGCCTGTCGCAGCGCGCAGAGGAGGGGTCGTTGTTCCGTGGTCCCCCCGTCACACTGCCGTTCGGTGTGAAGTCGAACGGGTACGTTATGGCGGACAATGGATACCCACCTTCCGAATGGATGGTCGTCCCGTATGGAGGCATCAATCTACACGTCGATGAGAAGTGGTTCGACAACAAACGGAAGGTGGCGAGGGGAGCGGTGGAGAGGGCGTTCGGCAGGCTGAAGGGCATGTGGCGGTTGTTTCTGCGGACACACAAGACAAACCTGGACACGCTCCCACAGCAGTTTACCGCCGTCTGCATACTGCACAACATGCTGATCGACGCAGAAATCCCCTTCGACGAGAATCTGTTGTGGGAGGTCGACGCGAATGGTGTGCGACGACGTGTGGACTTGGGGATTGAACAGCCCCTCCATCATGTTTCGATGTTGACGTCGACAGACGAAGCGTTGGCGTTGAGGGATGCTTTGGCGGAAAGATTGAAACACGAGTGAGTCGTGTTTCTTTTGTGGACGGCAGCGCGTGGAAGTACATTCATTGCACCAATGGGCGGAGGGCAGACTCCTTGTTTCGTCCTGCTTTACTGGGTCACTGTCGTTTGTTGCCCGTCGGGGTTGGTGGTTTGAGTGGAGGGTTGTGTTCCCCTTGCTGGACGGCCGCGCGTGGGAGCGCGTTCACTGCAGCGGCCGGAGGACAGATCAGTCGTTCCGTCCAACCTTGATTGGGTTGCTGGCTTTTGTCCTGAGTCGGGTTCGTTGTTTGCGTCAAGGGTCGTCTTGGTTTGCCATCGCGGTACGCAGACGTGCGTCACCGTCCTTTTTATATTGTTGTTCTTTTTTTTTATAAGCGTACACTTGTCGCCGTTGGAGTTGTGCAGTGCGGAGTCGGCGCACTGCGGGTGCGAAGTGCGGCGATTGTTCGCCACGAAGGATAGAGTAGTGTTCGTGATTCGGGTGGGCGTGGAACTTCCCCCCCACCAACCTTCGATTTTTGAACTATTAACTATGAATTGTTTAACGACATTGCAAATCCCTTTCTAAGTATACATCGTCCATTTCCATTGCGTTTTGGCGGTGTGCATGTGTGTGTGTGTGTGTGTGTATGTCATTGCGTCTATATTGTGTGTTGCTTTTTCTTTGCGTTCATTCTCTGTGCCATTGCATATTCATGGTATATTTTCTTGGACATTTCATGCCGTTTGATGCGCTGCGCTATGTCTTCATGCGAGTGTTGGAGTGGGACACGAACACATGTTTAGTTCACATGTTTTGTTTGTCAATCGGAGCAAGAGGGGGAGGGGAAAAAGAAATAAAGCAAACAAAGCAATGAGCGACGATGGCACATGCAAATGGAGAAGAGTCGTCTGAATGTGCATCCAAGAAACACAACTTGTTGATCTTAAAACTGACGATCCGTCGATCTAATTTCAAACAATGCGAAAACGAAATAATAACCAAACAAAGCGAGCGCAGATCTTAAAACTGACGAAATGTCGTTCTGTATTCAAATTTTACAAACAAAAAAAAAAAGGGGACGCCTCAAGCGCAATCAACTTGTCTCGCCACAAGCTGCGCCGGCTACATCAGAACACAAGATCGAACAAAGGTGCACAGCACCTACAATCTACCGAAGGGAGCCCCTATTGCCATCGCTTCTCCACCATCGGCAGCTAAACAACATCAACGTCCACAAGCAACCACGAACGCAGTTGCGTCACGCACCCAACCGAAGCGCACGTCCGAAAAAGTCAGGCGTCTGCATGTGCGAGCGACACGGTGCACACGTGCGGAATGAAGGAGGAGGCCATCAACAATTCGTCATCGTTACATGGTGACACCAGAACTTCGTCTTCGACGCCGTCTCGACCTGCCCCCTCTCCGCTTCCCTTGCACTCGCCGGAAAAAGAGACCCGTTCGCGCACCCTCTCCCCCGCTCCACGTGTAAGCACCGGCGACACCCTCTACCTCCCGGCCGCCCCCCCCTACGCGTCCTCTTTCGCATCGTCGTCGTTGTCGTCGTCCTCCAAGGGACCGGAACCCAACCAATCCCTCCTCTTCGCGTCCTCTGGCCCCGTTATGCTCGCATCTTGCCCAAAGACGATGCCGCAGGAAGCCCAGTGGGGGATGTACTTCGGGTACTCTTCAAGTGTTGCGCTCGCCTTCCCCAGTCTCTCCGTGATGGCGTTCGTGGCTCGGATGATGGATCTCCGATGATCGAAAGCGCGATGAATGGACGCGACGAGCTTTGCGAAGTAAAAAGCTTCGTAGTGGCTGCGCGCATCGTCTCCCGCCATGCACATCAACCACATGCAAGCAGCCAACATCAATCTGAAACAATCCGCTATTCTAGACAGACGCTCGTGCGAGATGAAACCACCGTCGACGATGCCACCCATTTGCACCGCGGCGCGAAACGCATGCGCGATGCATATGACGGTTGACTCTTGGTGCGCCGCCATGTCGTCGTCTTCCGTCCTGTCTTCGATGTTCGTGCCTGCAAACCACAAAGGCAGGTCCATGTTGAGGTCGATTGTGTGCGCGCAAACGGGCGAGCTAACGACGTTACTCCACTCCTCACCGTTCCACATGACGCTCGCAATGTCCGTCGCCACCGACTCCAACACATACTGGAAAGCGACATTGAATCCTTGGGGACGGTTCTCGGACTTGAAGACCCATCCATGCAAGATGCGCAGAGCGTTATTCTCCATTGCCGTCGCGCGGGCGATCACCTGCTGCAGTTGTGTGGGATCCGCAATCCTTGTGACGGTCATCGACGATTTCGGCATGACGACGCTCCTGGGCAGGGTGGGCGCTTGCATTCCGCTGGCGATGGGGACAAAGTACTCCCGCGTTTCGTGGACGATGTTGTACAGCCTTCGCCCCTCCCCCATCGTCCAGAACGCTTTGTCATCGACCCACAGGCGGGCAAGGTCGGCCAGATCTCTCGCCATTCCTCCCCTTCGGACCCGGCTTAGAGGGGGTCTTCATCCTCCCTTTCACCCTTGTTGTCGACGCGCGTCGCCTCCCGCTCCACAACTGGGACCTCTTCGCTCGCCCTCGCCACGACACCAACATTGCCCGATGGTCCCGCTGCTGCAGCAGCGATGGCAACCCCACCCGCCACGCGCGCTTCTTATTGGGCCCCATCCCCTCCCCCGCGTTCCATGGAGCCCCCCTCCGCAGCCGTGCTGCGCGGTCGCGGCTGGGATGGCGTCAAGGGCAGGCCACCCTGAGGTGGCCTTTCTTCAGTCGCGGCGCGTATCCTGACTGCCATCACCGTGCCACCTTGTGTCACATTGCGTTGTCTACGGCTCTCCAACGGCTCATCGTCCTCGCCGCCGACATCGACGACAACCTCCTTCGCCTTCTGGGTGTTGTGTGCACGAACTTGTTGCGCCTCCGGAGGGGGCGTCGCTACTCTTATCGCACCGCTCTGATCACCTGACCGTTGAAGAGTGCTTCCCCGAGGCGCCGTCACGTTCTCCTCTGCTGCTTCCTCCTCCGTCATGAACACGTCGTCATCTTCCTCCTCGTTGGCTACCGTCCAAGTACGCCCTCGCCGAGGAGGGAGGCTAGCTGATGGTTCTTCTGAACGGAGCCTCTTCGCCTTTGGGACATGCCGCCGACCCCTTTCCCGCCCCTGCGTGTCCGCGGGGATGTTTTCCCGCTTCTTCCCACGGGCGCCGCCTCGCGTAGACATACCTCCCGCCTCCGTCAATGACAGTTTGTGGCTACGCCTTTCTTTGCGTCCACGACGAACAAGCGCCTTTGCCGCCCTGGGGAGCAATTCGTCCTCGCCCTCGCCACGCACAGTACGTCCACGTCGACGCGAACGCGAGAAGGATATGAGCCTTGCGGACACTTCTCCGTGGTCTAATTAAGAACTTCTCAAGTAAGCGGCGGCGGACCTCCGAAGGGGCGATATGTATCCGCGACGAGAAGGATCCGCGGCGAGAAGGAGAGCGATGGGATCAGAGCGACGATCGACGACGACACCGATGAAGTCCCGCGCGTGAAGGAGACGAAGGCAGCGTTTACCGCTCCGCGGCGAGAAGAAGATCTTGGCGATTGATGGACAACGGACCTCTGAAGGCGCGATGTGGATCCGCGGCGAGAAGGAGATCGAAAAGATCCACAGCGAAGAAACGACGACGCCGAAGAAAACCAAGCCGATGACGACTGTGAAGAAACGAGCGACTTCGTAGTGCCTTTGCGCTGCGACGACGAGGAGAGAAGGCAGATGGCAGACGGCGCAAGCGGAAGACCTTTATGGTGGACGACGGGTCGACGCACCGAAACCGTGGAGCAAACTGACGGGGCCCGACGACGATTCCTCGCCTACCGTCGTCGTCGACAGCGACACGTGTGACAGCAACTCTGCAGACCTCCCTCGCGCGCACTCACTTCAACTTTTGCCACCCCCAGGTGAGAGAGGGGGTGCACACAGACCCTTCCACGCGTCCTGGCTGGCACGGGCCGATATGGCTTCCTTAAAAAAATACCCGCACACAAACACCCACCCCACCCCAAAAAAAAGAAGAACACCCGAACCCAGAACCCCCCCCCCTCTCCCCCCCAGCCTGGCGCGCAAATTCCTGGACACGAACGATGACACCCCCGTCCACCGCAATCGTCGAACCCCATAACCCCTCCAA